TGTGTTTGTTTCTTTTAGGACGTTATATGTACATCGAGGCTTCGTACCCAAGGCGGCCTGGGCAGGCTGCACGTCTTTTTAGTCCTTTAGTCACTGTGTCAGGATTAAGTACGAAATGCTTAGAGTTCTGGTATCACATGTATGGTCCCCATGTGGGGTCACTAAGTGTGTACACCAACACATCTACTGGTATTCTAAGCACTGCAATCTGGTCAAAAAATGCAACACAAGGAAATTTGTGGAAGTCAGCTGTTGTAGAAGTGCAAATGAACCAATCATACATGGTGAGTTTTGAGATAGCATTATGCACTGCCATCCTGCTGGGGCTTGATTGACCGTGGGAAGGCCCCAGGTATTTGCCCAATTATGTTCACAAATCCTCTCCCTGACCAAAAATGACACTTCTCCACCAAAAAGGAAACCATTACCCCTCCCTTTAGGGCAACAAATGGTTCAGATGAGGCCTCAGGTCACAAAGTGCCAAACTGATTCAATCTCCCCATCTGGGGCTAAAAATTAGCAGCAAATGTCGGCATCAACTTCAGGGATAGGGCCAATATTGTACCACACCTTGGGCTCTCGACTTGGTATAGTACAAGTGGCAGGGTTCGTACAGAGTCTTGAATTCTTGAAAAAGTCTTGAAATTTCCCAGCAGTTTTCTAGACCTGGAAAAAGTCTGGAAAATAGAGAGAAAGTCTGGAAAAATGCTAAAAAGTCTTAGGTTTTTTACAACAAGTGCTATTACACTATTATGCAGGGTAAAAAATTAGCAGCAAATGTCGGCATCAAATCTTGCGCATTGCCTGTGTACATGTATGAACCTCATGGGGTCAATTAAACTGCCCAGTATGGCCACTGTTAAGTGCATTAGACTTGTAACATTCATTTTTATTACATCTTAATTATGCAATAGTCAAGTTCATCCATCAGGAACTGGATCCAGCCGTGGATGTGATGTTAATAATAATATTGTGATCTGTAAATATTGACCTTCTTGCTGTTAAATTTATGTACATTATGTACTGATAAATGAAAATAAGTTGTCGACACGTTAAAATGAAAAACAAGAGGGAAAAAAAGCAAACAAACATGTTTTTAATAGACAAGAAAAAAAGGAAAGAAAAAAACCTCTGTTATTTATCAGTGGGTGATCAAAGTCAAAGTGCAGACTGGCAAACTGAGAATTTTTCAAGAAAATATTTAACTCTCACCTTCACCCGTCATTGTCTTTTGACTTATAGCCCTTATTAATTTTTGAGCTGTGATTTTTTAGATATACATGCATAGCAACAACAACAACAACAACAACAACAATAGTCTTTATTTTCCTTAGCATCCAAATAAGAATTACTAATGTAAAAGGTATTAAATGGAACAGTATATATGCATTGCTTATTTGTCTGAGTATAAGAGGGTTTCTAACTGATTTAAAAAATGTTCACTGTGTCACTGGCACCTCATATTTTTGTGTTCAGCTGGTTTTTGAGGGAGTCAGGGGCAGCAGTTTCAGAGGAGACATTGCTATTGATGATATCCAGTTGAAAGATGGTTCCTGTGCTGCATCCTCAGGTCTGTACACTCTGTAAAAGAAACTTTGCATTAATGCAGCAAGATTAGCCCAGTCCTCAGGGCACTGACTGTAGAGCTGGAGGTCACAGCTTTGATGCCTGGGGCAGGATCAACACACAGGGTCTTAAAAATATCAGAGAAATGAAGGTACTCCCTTCACACAGCCTGCAAGTGGCTAGATCTTTGCTGTTGGCCAGAACCTCTTTAGAACCTCTTATTTGATAGGTCCTTGTTGGCCCAAAGCTCTGTTGTTTCAGAGTTCGGGTTCATTGTTAGTTTTGTTTTGGTTAGGGCTATCTATTGTTTTCTAAACCAATCCTGTGAGCCATTCTTAGAGCTTCTGGTCCACCCGATGTTTGGACGGCCCTGGTGACTATGTAAAATGGCAGTCCCGTCTCCAGGTCGATACTGAAGTAAAAATAGTGTCCCCAATTTAGTACTTCTGTGCTAAATTCATTGACATTCACTGTTTAATCTGGACAATAATAGGTGACGCCCACTCCAAAGCAAATTAATCACAATGAATTATATAATTTAACCACGATATAGGCAGTTAAAATATGAGAGTCAACAGATGCTTTTGTTTACTTCTATTAATTTTAACAAGTATGTCTTCTTGATAGTTTGCGATTTTCAGAAGGATATGTGCGGTTTCATTCAGGACACTTCTGATAATTTTAACTGGACTCGGAATAAAGGTTCAACTCCAACTTCAGGGACAGGGCCAATACTGGACCACACCTTGGGCTCTCGACTTGGTATAGTATAAGTGACAGGATTTGTACAGAGTCTTGAATTCTTGAAAAAGTCTTGAAATTTCCCAGCAATTTTCTAGACCTAGAAAAAAGAAAGTCTGGAAAAATGGTAAAAAAGTTTTTTCAACAACAAGTGCCATTATTCATGAGTGATTTTCTTTTCGTTGTGGTCAAATCGTATCTAGTTTCACCCATACGTTTAGAGTGCATCCAGAGAAAAGCTTTGTTTCTGCTTTGTTAAGGTCTGTATTGATCACCTATTATTGATAACCTTGAGTCTGGAGAAAAGAAATGATAAATTGTTTTGGAAAAACGTCTTGAAATTTTGGATTCAAGAATCTGTATGAACCCTGAAGTGGTTTTTTGTTATTCCTTTATTTTCACATTCCTGTTTAAGCTTTGCAGTTATTAGGAGTAATCTACCAACAAGCACTAACCTATAAAATGAATACAGCATTTTGTCAACAACGAAAAATATGGTGCTTTTTGATGATTATGATTATCATTGATTTATATTTTAATTTTATTGATACTTCCTTTATTACATCTTATATTTTGATACTTTTTGTATTACATCATTGTTCAGGGGTTTCAATAAGCACCGACAGCCGACAAAACGTGTCGGCTACTTTGCTCATAGAGGGCGGCTACTTTTTTCAGAAAGAAGAGGCAACTAGTCAATGCTAGATTTCAGTCATTTTTTCACAAGTTTCTTGAAAGGTTTACACACAATTTGTATGTAATTATTTTAGTTTTCATCATTTGTTCATTGCCTGTAGAAATTGATTGTGTGACTGATAAATTGAAAGCTACATTTTCTTGAATGAAAAACACGCTCTTTTGTCCTCAAATTTAGTACCCAGAACGCTGAAAATCGCATCTTAGGGCTTTGAAATTTCAAAATTTTCTGGGGCAGAACGTCATAAGCAAGCAAGCCATAATTCTCTTTTATGTACACTAACTAAGATGGGTAAGGTTTTTTCATTAATATTATTATTACCTGATAGATTAATTTTGTTTGTCTACAGTTACAAATGAGCAGACTTGCTGCACATCTTTGTTTACTAGCTCCTAACCTTCAAAAGCAGAAAAACAAGTGCATATTTTACAGTGCAAGAAACTCAAATAGCTGGCACCACCCAAACATGAATGGCCCAATCACAGGTCACTTGCACCAAAAAAGGGAGGCTAACTTTGTATCGGCATCATATTTGGACCACAATAAAACTTCCAGATGGTCTCGCTGTAATTGTGTTATCTATTAATGTTTTTGTTGTATCTTATTTTGATTTTAGGTTATTATCTTCTGTTTGAGGCAAGTTCTCAGACACCTGGGTCCAAGGCTAGAGTTATGAAATCTTACCCAGCAACATCATCCAAGGGCATGTGTCTGAACTTCTGGTTCATGATGTATGGGTCATCTTTGGGAACTCTCAATGTTTATCAAAAAGTAGGATCTAGCCTTGGAAATGCACTTTGGAATATTTCAGGTGACCAGGGTTTGCAGAGAACCTGGCTGAAGGGACAGGTCACATTTAACAGTACAGGAACATTCAGCGTAAGTGCTATAGAAATAAGCTGTACATCTTTTTGTATAATGATGAAACTGTCAAGCTAACAAAACAAAATTGACTAGTTTGTTAGGCTACGACCCTCCTTTTCATTCTGTAGATTTTGATTTGAATCGTTGTTTTTGAGGGCGAAAAATGACTTAAGAGTTTAGGAAACCAGCCCTTGGCCTTTTGCTGTTTAATGTTTGTGTCCAGATTAGATTTATTTGTTTAAATCTCACAGGCTGTATTTGAAGGAGTCAGAGGAGGAGGTTCAAGGAGTGATATTGCTATTGATGATGTATCAATGACTTCCGGGGAGTGTTCTGCTGCAGGTGAGTATTAAGCTACTGAATGAGGTGGTTTGTTACGTTACCTCAGCTCCAGTGGTTGTAACTAGAGCTGTTTGTTTATGAGAATGAGCTCTCATAAGCACATGGTAAAACAATAGAGGGTGATAGCTAAGGAGAGCCTCAGAAACTCATTTACAATTCATAATATCAAAGAAAAGAAGTTAATGTTTAACAAGTGTCTTATATCTGACATAGACATCACATGTCTAAACTTTATGTCCAATTTTTTTTAGACCAAAATAACCCAAGATCTTTATCAATGAACCATTAGTACAGTGTGCTGTTTCATTAAATTGTTTCAAGATGTAAATGAATAAGACTCTGAGTGGTCGCTTACAAGAGCTTAACAACAAAGGAAAAGTCCAGTTGGGTAATCTCAAAAGTGGTCGCAGTCACTTTTGGGAGCAGCCACTCATGAAAGCTTTTCATTACAAAGTTTAAGTCACAGTTCAGATTGGTTTTCACAAAGGTGGTCATAACTAGAGCTTGTTGCTTACAAGATTGGTCGCAAAGACAGCTTTGACTGTAATTTAAAATAATATGAAATAAAATGATGATAATAATAGTAATAAAAACAAAACAACAACTATGCACAAAAAAATAATATAAAACAGTGGACATTACATTGTATTTTTATGTTTATACTACTATATGAGAAATTTCTGCAATTTGATAGGCTTAGAGCAGTAGTATTCCAGCTTAATTTGAAATACCTACATGTGAAAATTACAGTTTCCATGTTAACCAAAATCACGAAGCAAATTCAGAAACAATGGCGGAAAGATTTCCAGATTTTCAAGTTGAAGAGATTCAAGAACTGAAGGAAAATTCAGAAAACCAAAACACGAAGAAAAGTACGTCGACCTGGCTGAATGTCTGGACCAGCTGGGCCGAAAGCAAGAATTTTGAAACTAATTTGCTTTCTTATGAAGCGAAACAACTAGATGAAACATTACAAAAGTTCTTCGCCGAGATCCGTAAGAAAGGTGGTTCTGAGTACAAACCTGACAGTTTGAGAGTTATGTTGGCGTCATTGGACCAACACCTGAGAGAAAAGGATGCTGCCTTCTCAATAGCCAAGGATATCGAGTTTTCCAACAGCAGAAAAGTACTTGAAGGAAAAGCAAGGCTTCTTCGTCAAGAAGGTTTCGGAAAAAGGCCAAACGCTGCAAAGGCACTGTAATAAATCAAGGCAAGAGTCGTCGTAATAGTCTCGACCGTGTTTACTCAACTTTACTCTTTTTTTGACCACGAGGTCCTAGCCCTAGTTTTACATCATGTAATACGACACGAAGTGTCCTCTACTCTACACTATCCCCTCTCTAATTAAAAGGGTGAGTCTCCGGATTCACGGACAACACTTGAAAGTTTAACAGTGTCAAGGTAACCAGTCCAGTTCACAAGCAAAGGAAAGAAAACTAATACAAAAAACACTGTCCATAACAAATCATAGTCTCAATATCCTCTTAGTGCTCGAGCCTTCTTTAACAATTTCGGTCTCAGTTTCTTAATCCGATCTTTTTCCATGGTCTGCTTGTCCTCCAGCATTTGTACGCGATCTACAATTTGCTGTAGACTACTGATAACCCACTCTCCATAACGGTCTGGGGGTCTTCTCACTCTCACCGGTCTTCGATCCTGGAGAGTAGGTTCCGGTTCCAGTCCTTCACCTTCATGTTCACTCCCTTCCTCCTCGCCACTGAGGTCAGGTGGGTCAGATTGAGTTGGTTTGCTTGTAGCATTTAGGGTATCTACAAGGGGGCCACCGTCCTTAGTGTCTGGCGCTTCCACTGAAGGATCACTTCTAACATCCCTTTCCGCCCCGCTGGGCTGGACGTCATCCGACTGACAACCACTAATCTCTAGCGTATCGGGTTGTTGGCTTGACAGTTCAGGATCACCTTCCAACAACTCACTCTCTTCTTCAACTGCACTCATTGCCACCCCAACAACTGTCCCATCTTCTTCTCCCGGCATCGACTGTGCATGTCCTTCTTCAACAGTCTCCACTGCAGGTGCAGTGCCCAAACCACCAGTAACTACTTCACCCACTGCCTTCTCCTGTTTTCTCTGGTACAACCTCAAGTTGTTGAAATGGACTACCTTGGACCTCCTAGAATGTCCTGCAACTTTTCTAACACAGTACGTAACTTCGGTGACTTGTGATACGATCTCGAACGGACCATCCCACTGTCGGTGAAACTTGCTTGCTTCACCTGGCCTTAGCTGTGGGGTGTAGCGCAGGACTAAATCTCCAGGTTGATAGACCGTGTGCTTCTCTCCCTTGTCGTAAGCATCTTTCTGGCGTCGCTGAGCAACCTTCAGATTCTCCCGTACATCCCGGTATGCACCTTCTAAATCCTCCTGTAGATTAGCAGCAAATTCAGTGTACGAGCACTTACTGTCCTTAACCCCACCCATCATCACGTCCAAGGGTATCCTCATCTCTCTTCCGAACATCAGTTCAAATGGAGTGTGCCCTGTGGAGGCATGGATGCTACTCCGGTAGGCCATCATGCAATAATCCAGGTGTTCATCCCAGCTCTGAGGTTTACCTCCAACTTTAGCTTTCAACATGCTCTTAAGGGTCTTGTGTAGGTTCTCAATTTGCCCGTTGCCCTCTGGATGGTAAGCAGTTGACCGCGTTTTGTTGATCTCTAGCAAGTGGCACATCTCTTCAAAAACCTTCGACTCAAAGTTATGCCCCTGATCACTGTGGATGCTGTCGGGCACACCGAATCTGCAAATCCAGTTCCTCACAAGCACCTTTGCACAAGTTGTGGCACGTTGGCTAGGAATTGCAAACGCTTCAGCCCACTTGGTGAAACTGCACTGCACGGTTAAAATGTAGCGATTTCCTCTTCGTGTCCGAGGTAATGGTCCAACTATGTCAATGTGGATCCTTTGCATGGGATTTCCAGTGGCCAATGGCTGCAGAGGTGCTCTTGGCTTTGGTCTAGACTTGCACTTGGCACAGGTAAGGCAACCATCGCAGTACCGATGCACGTCCTTTGTCAAGCCCGGCTTCCAAAATCTCGCACTCATTTTCTTCAGGGTCTTCATTCTCCCCAAATGGGCACCTGCAGGACCATCATGAACTTCAGTAAGCGCTGGCCTAACCAGGCTTTGTGGCAAAACTATCCGTTGCTTAGTTGGAGAGGTGTCTGTAGGCGACTGAAGATAGAGCACTCCTCCCTTCAGCTGCAACAGGTCAAGTTGCGCCCATACTGCCCGAGTGGTTCGACTCATGGGCTGAAGTTCCTCAGTCGTCGGTTTCTTCCACTCTTGTGACAACTGCGCTACCACCGGGCCAATATCAGGGTCTTCTCTTTGTGCTTGTGCCACTGCTGCAGTCGACCATATATCCCTCCCCTCACACTGCTTATGAACCGTTGGCAACCCTGCCACAGCGGCTACCTGGGGTCGGGCTGACAGAACACACGATGGGTACTCTCCATGATGACGCCTTGGTCGCCGTGACAAGGCATCTGCATTACCATGCTGTCTCCCTGGCCGGTGCTCAATTGTATAGTCGTATTCTTGCAGGCGTTCCAGCCAGCGGGCCACTTGCCCTTGGGGCTCCTTGAAGGACATCAACCAGGTTAACGAGTGGTGGTCAGTTCGTAGGCAGAACCGCCGTCCAAGCAGATAATAACGGAAATGGTCAACATAGGTGACTAAAGCTAACATCTCCAACCGAGTAGTGCAATAATTTCTTTCATGTTCGTTCAAAGAGCGACTCCCGTATGCAGTTACTCGTTCTGTCCCATCAGGTTGCAGCTGAGATAAGACTGCCCCGATTCCCAAATGTTGGCTAGCATCTGTGTCCAGTATGAATGACCCTGCACCGGCGTTAAAATCTGGATAGGCTAGGACGGGTGCACTGACTAATCGGTGTTTGAGCTCTTCAAAGGCAGATTGTTGCTCTTGTTGCCAATGAAAGGGCGTGTCCTTCCTACACAGTTTATAGAGTGGCTCGCAATGATGGAGAATCCGCAATAAACCGCCGATAATAACTAGCCAGACCGAGGAAGCTGTGAAGCTCTTTGACGTCCAGCGGTGTTGGCCAAGTTTCAACTGCTTTAACTTTCTCCGGATTCGTCCTTATTCCATCACCAGAAACAACATGACCCAGAAAGGTAACTTCTCTCTTCAGGAACTGACACTTGGTTGGCTTTAATTTCAAACCCGCTGCTTGTATTCTGTCAAAGACCGACCGTAGGCGGTGAAGATGTTCTTCAAATGTAGAGCCCCAGATGATAATGTCATCTAAGTACACAAGGCAATGTGTCCAAGTGAGTCCACTGAGTGCCAGATTCATCAATCTGGTGAAGCTTGCTGGCCCATTTGTCAAACCAAATGGCATAACCCTCCATTGAAATTGTCCACGATGAGTCGAAAACGCAGTTTTGGGTTTGTCCTCCTCCTTCACTGGCATCTGCCAATATCCAGAGGCCAAATCAAGGCACGAGAACCACTGAGCACCGCCCAGGGCCTCTAAGACATCATCAGTCCTAGGCAGCGAGATAGCATCTTTTTGGGTGTACTGGTTAAGTCTCCGAAAGTCAATACACATACGGTAAGTTCCATCATGTTTCCGGGCCAACACAACGGGGCTACTCCAGGGACTTTGGGACTGTTCAACCCTACCATTAGCTACGAGATCATCCAGCTGTTGGTCAATGATTTCTCTTTGGTGAGGGGGAATACGGCGCGGTGGTTGCTTAATTGGTGTACAATCACCCGTATTAATTTCATGTTCCATGAGACAAGATTTCCCTAAATCCGAACTGTTCATAGCAAAAATGTCCTCATACTCTTTCACCAGAGACGAGAATTGTTCCTTTTGACCTTCTGAAAGCCCTTCCAGGTTTTGTTGTTCACAGATTGTCCTCCACTTTTCTCCCTCTCCTTTTGTCTGCTCACTCTTCCCCACTGTGCTGTCAATGGTCGAACAGAATGCATGTGGCCGAGAGGTACTTTTCGATTCTGAATCAACTCCAATGGGAATTATACTACCATTCACGCTGCTAATAGGGTGATATTCGGCAATAGGAACATCTGACCGTATCTTGATTGGTCTATCCGAGAAGTTGGCAACTCGAACAAGGGCCTGTCCCGCCCTTGGAACCACAAGGGAACGAGCTATGCAAATTTCCGATTTTCCCTTTAGTTCCTTTGAGCCCTCCAAGATCCCAGGGCTTCCCGTATTTTGTTCATATCCCTCTTCCAATCTAGCTCCTAGCACTTGTTCAGTCCCCGGCTCTACTTCTACTTCAGCACACAGATAAAGTCTACAAACACTAGGTGTGACCTTGCAGTATCTAATAGGAATTTCAGCATCTCCTACCACAAAGGTTCCCGTGTCATAGTGAATTTGACATCCATACTGCTGTAAAAAGTCTGAACCAAGAATACAATCATGTGCTAGACCTTGCGCAATCATGACAGGCCAGGAGCAATCCATGTTTCCTATGCGAAATCTCACTTGGGTTTCTCCTAAGACAGTCAGTTCATTGCCATTTGCTGTCGTTAATGTTCCTATCACTGGTTTAAGTTTAGAAACATATCCACTTTTCTTCCATGTGTCCTCGCTCAATACACTAACCGTAGCGCCAGTGTCCAACAATACACAAGTTAAACAATGATTCACAAGTCCAGTAATATAAATCCCGGAATCAGATATGGCTGAAATTACACTGTCATTCGCGGTTGTATTGTAATTTACCTCACGGACATCACTGTCTGACAGGGCCACACGTACTGGTCCTACGGGGACTGTCTGGCCCTTGGCAGGCCCCGAGCTCCGTTTCCCGTTGTATTAGTCGGACAATCACGTGCAAAATGACCCTGTTTACGACAATTGTAACACACTACTTCGTTTCGGCGCCGTGGGGCTGTCACGGTTTTGCTTCCGTTTTCATTTCCAGCTCACGAATTTTCTCATTCATGCCAAGAACTAATTCCTTGAGCTCGCGTATTTCAGATGAAATCTTCTCACTATCAGCCGAGGCACCAATCACATTAACAGATTTCTTCTTCTCAACCGCAGGAGCTGCGCGACAAGCCTTACGAGCACTTTCCAACTGGCGAACCACACGCACAGCTTCCACGAGCGAACTCGGCTGGCTCATAAAAACTCTCTCACGAATGTCATCACTAATTGCTACACCTTGAAGAAACTGGTCCCTTGCCAGTTCCACTTTAAACGAATAGGCCGCCTCTGGGTACGCATTTTCGACCAATTCCATCAAGCTATCCGCAAATTCATCGAAATCTTCATTTGGCTTTTGGCATCGTGCCCGCAACTGCAATTTGTAATCTTCTTTCGTCTTCCCCGAATCAAATCTTCGAGTCAACTGATCAGTAAATTCTTCGAACGGTAGCGATTCCGAGAGCTTGAGCAGCTCAACAGCTTTGTAGGCCGGTTGGTCCAATAATGTAAGCAAATACGCTCGACGATCCACCGGTTTGATGTGCACGAGACTTGCGTATTGCATGAACTGCGAGAGCCACGTTTTGAAATTTTGGCCCACCGAATAAACGCGTGGAGCTCTTACGTTCCTCCTAACTTCGCTTTGTTCGCTTGACGCCACCATACTCTGCTTTAGAGCTTGAGACAGGGTATTCACGAGCTGCTGCAGGTCACTGCCCCCTTCGTGTGGCTCTACTTTCGGTGGTTTCTTCTTTTGTTGTTGTTTCAGCACGGGTTCTGTCGATTCAAGTTTCGGTAACCCTCCTTCGGCGCCTGCGGACATTTCATCTAGTTTCGGTAACCCGCCTTCGGCTCCTGCTGGAGTTCCATCTTCTTCCATCTTTATATCCCAGTTCGCTGCCACCAATGTAATAAATCAAGGCAAGAGTCGTCGTAATAGTCTCGACCGTGTTTACTCAACTTTACTCTTTTTTTGACCACGAGGTCCTAGCCCTAGTTTTACATCATGTAATACGACACGAAGTGTCCTCTACTCTACAGCACTCACCTCTCAAGACGAAGAGTTGTGGTCCAAAGGAGTGCTTGGAAGCCATTCTCCACAGTCACTGATACAGACCATGTGGTTCTTGCTCACCCAGCACTTTGGTTTGAGGGGCTGTCAGGAGCATCACGACATGTACGTTGAAGATTTTGCCTTCAGTACCGACGACAATGGTATTGAATTCGTGACTTACGAGGAAAACCCCACGAAAACTCGCCAAGGTGGACTTCGCAAGAACCGAAGAGTCGTTCAACCCAAGATGTTTGCTACTGGTGGACAGAGATGCCCTGTAAAATTGTTCAAAACATTTTTGGAACGAAGACCCGAAGAAATGCGAAACAGTGGTCCATTCTATCTTGCCTTGAATGAACGACCAAAGACCCAAGTGTGGTATGAGCGTCAAAGAATGGGCGTCAACAGCATTAATTCCTTTATGAAGAATATGGCAAGTCAAGCAGACATACAAGGCAAAAAACTCACAAACCACAGTGCTCGCAAAACCTTGGTGAAGAAGCTGAAAGCTGCAAATCAACCGAGGTCAGCGATTATCGGCGTGACAGGCCATACCAATGAAAGGTCCCTTGCAGATTATGAAGAAGGCGATGAGAAAGAACAGTGACTCATTTCTTCAATCATCAGTGCAGAGTGTGCAACGGCACAATCCAGCAGAGTTCGTCAACTGCTTGAAAGATTAGATGCTGTAAACACAGCTGTGGCGAACAATTTCCTCATGAATGATGAAAGGTTGGCGACCGTTAACCATTTCCATGGCTGTCAAGTTACTATAAATTACAACATCGCAAGCAAGCTGGGAAATGCTGATCAGCAGCAGTAGATGTTAAAATCTAATTCTGAACGACTTTCATTGAGACAAACTTTCGAAAACTCAAACTTTGATTAACTTCGGTGTTCTTTCTTTACATGTGTTTGCAATTGATCTTGTTGTAAGTTTTGATTTTGGATCACATGATATCACATGTTGTACACTGTCAATCAAAATACGCGTCACAAAATAAACGGATGGCGTTACAAAAAATTTCTCATGTAACAGTATAAACAAATAATAGCATGATTTGTACGTGATATTTGGCATAAATACCACTCGTGATATTTCAGAATTCTCAAATTTCACTCGCCTAATGGCTTGTGAAATTATGTATAACAATCTTGAAATATCACTTGTGGTATTTATGCCAAATATCGCTACAGATCATGCTATTACCTATATAAATTCTGGACAATAATACTGAATTAAAGTCAGTATTAGCCACATTTTTTTTGAGGATGCAACAGTGCAACTTAATTTAGTTTTCATCCTGCGTGGGTAGGCTCCCAGGCTGCCTAAGGAATGGTAAAAAGGTAAGATAGGCTCCTGAGTGACAAGTACATGTATGCAGTCCTGCAGTCCAAATGAATGAATAATGTGGCAATTAAGAAATTGTGGTACATGTCCAATGATGCATTGGATTAATTATTTTTTGTACCAGTAGGAAATGAAAATGCACTAGTAGCACATAATATGTGCTTGGTCTAGAATGAACATTTTCTTGGTAATGAAGTTAAGTTGTAACTTTAATTGTTGAGGTAAATGAATTTACCAAGTCTTTACCTAGTTGATTAATTAATAACCTTCCGGTTGAAATTGTTCAAAATTAATTGTACTTGAATGGGCTTGAATTTTGGATCATTTTATTTTCTGTCAGGGGACTGTAACTTTGAACAAAACTTCTGTACATGGATTAACATGGCTGGTGATCAGTTTGATTGGATCAGGGGATCTGGTAGCACTACAAGCCGCTTCACAGGTCCCAGCAGAGATAGGTTGGGCTCTTCATCAGGTATTGAACTACCAGTAACTTGAATCTCATCTATAAGTGTAAGGAAATGTTTCACCTCATTTTGCCCTGTTATACATATTGTTATAGCCAGAAATTTTTTTCCAACAGCACTCCTTCGAGGTCACATGACATCTATAAACAAGGAAACTGTTTCCTGCCAAAACCTCTAAGTGGGCAACATTGACGTCAGAGGGTAACAGTCAGGGCTGTCATTAAGAGTCAGGGTTGGGGAATTTCCCCAGCTATTATAAACATGACTCCGGCCTACTTTTGTAGGAAAATAGAAGAAAAATAGAACCAAACAAGATCCCTAGATTCCCCGCCTTCTTGTATCATTAGCCCTGCAACTTGAAATTTTAGAAACATGCCCTGAACAGTGCACTGTTACCTGCAAATGTTGACCAAGGATCTCCATGACAGCAAGCTTTAATGAATTTCCAGCTTCAAAATTTCCAGCTATATAACCAATCACTTAAAGACTGGTCTCTCGGTAAACGGTTAATTGTCAGTTTGTTTCCCTCAGGAAACATTGAGATTCTCAGGAAACAAAATTAACTGTTTCCCTCAGATCCTGCAGTCACTAAGTGTTTATTCTACTCTCAACTAATTGTTTAAGAGAATTTATGTATGAAGATCAGAGAAATAGTTTGAGAGGCTGCTTGTGCATGCCATTTCAGCTTGTACTAATTCGATAGAATAACCAAATTATCATTGTTCATTATAATTATTATCAAGGTTCGAAAAAGCACATTTTGAAAATGGCCCTTCCTCCAAATCATGCACAGGGCGGGAAAAGAAAGGAGGGCTTTCCTTTTCCTGCCCCGCTGCCAGAGTGCCCTGGAGAGCTTACTCGCAGGCTAAGGGGATCAAATCTATAAGAGTTTAAATCTGAACTAACTTTGAGGACTTTTTGTTTTCCTTTTGAAGGATACTATGTCTTCATTGAAACATCAATTCCAAGAAGACCAGGCGACAAAGCAAGACTGTTAAGTCAGCAATTCAACGGCACTAATGCTGGTAGCTGCTTTACCTTCTGGTACCATATGTATGGTCGTACCATAGGTACACTCAATTTGTACCACGTGGTTGGACAGACAGAAACACTTATCTGGACACTTTCAGGGAACAAAGGAAACTCCTGGTTTAGTGGACAAGTACCAGTTGGAAAAAAATTGTTCAATGGATATAAAGTATGTCAGAATCATGTTGTATGGAATAAAAGAACCAGTTACAGTATTAGTTTTGAGAAGAACAGGGAAGGCAGTAAAAAAATACTGTTTTATTTGGTTGTTCAGCCATCATGCTATGCTGGGAATGGTCTCTCACCATGATAATATATGTATATGTGACGTATATTTTGAGTTAGATTCTTGGACCTGGTATTCATATTACTAATTAGTATTCAAATTAATTTTGTTTTTTCTCTTAGCCCCACCCTCGGTGATTTTCTTAGGCTCTCCAGTTTTCCTCCCAAGCTGAATTCCAAATCCCAGTCTTATGTTAGAAGTCTTCAGCTCACACAAAACTGGTTCATATTTAATGGAGAGTTAATAACTGGAGGGTGTTGATGTAATTATTTCTATTTTCTCTGACTTAATTATCTATGAGATATTACAGCCTGCAGAGCGAATCTTTTGCATTCTGTGTGATTCACTTCTTATTTCTTGTTATTTTGAAATATCTGTACAAGTAAACTTTCTTTTTTCATAACAGATTATAGCTGAGGGAGTCAGGGGGAGTAGCTATACTGGTGACATAGCAATTGATGACTTTAAGGTCCTTAACGGTGTCAGTTGTAGTATTATACCAACGAGTGCAGACCCAAATGCTCCAACAACTAGTGCACCTGTTACAACTGTACCTCCAACTACCACACCAGCTTGTAAGTACACCTTACTAGTTTAAGACAGCTGTTATGAGCAAAGCTTCAGCTCCTGTAGCTCTTTTGTAGAGCTTCTGGGCTTACGTCATAGATGGTCATAGATTTCACTTTTGTTGGCAGTAACCAGATTTTGTTTTCAAGTCTTGCATTGCTGGCCGTGGTGTAATAAAAACTATTGTGTGCTAGGTACTTCTGTTAAAAAAGTAATGTCATTCAAGGGTCGCAAATTATATGTAGTTGATGTTGAAAATTAAAAGACAGGAAAACTAAGTTCCTGAAGGATTAAAAAGGGAAAAGTTGGACAATTTTTAAAAAACATTGAAAACCATTTTTGCAGCAAATGTTGGAATCAACTGCAACTTTGAAAGCGACCTCTGCACCTGGACTCAAGACAGAACAGATCAGTTTGACTGGACTCGGAAATCAGGTTCAACAGCTTCATCACCAACTGGACCCTCTGTGGATCATACAACAGGCACTTGTAAGTGATTGTTTTGAGTACATTCACTTTATTTGTAGATGATACAAATCATTGGACCTTTTTCTGTTTAGGCAATATAACTAGCCAGCTAGTCCTGTAGCTAATAGTTTCAGTTAGCTGCCTTGTCTAAGCAAGAGTACATTTAACTCTTTCTATAATGGAAACCAGAGGTGACCAAGTGTCCATCTCATTGAATTATCCACCTTACCATTAGAGAGTCAAAGAAAATGGCTAAGAGTTGAAGAGACCAGCTATAGGTGTGCAGCTTGAGGGAGGTGTCCATCCTACAGAGGTCTCCTTTATGATATATTTGACTGCTGTATTTCTCGCCAGCTACATGTTTAATAAAAGGGATCTACACACATGTATGTTGAATAGCATACAAAACGTCAAGTTTATAAACTCACAATGTTTATCACCGCTGTTTGTGTTTTATTTTTGATCAAACTACGTTGGCCCTAGAACAAACGTCTCTATGATACATGTTTACTATTTAAGAATCTATTCATGATAAGTTATAAAGTGCCTTTATTTACCATACATTCGTTCATACACATTACCTGTTATATTACTACAAGGCAGGAGATCAATCAATCTCTGTAGAGCTTTTAGACAATCTCCGCTTTATTTTACGTAAAGAATACAGAATGCAGACTTCCTGTTTTACGAACTGATATGAAGTAAAACTATTATATCTATTTCTTAATCACCTACTCTTAGTTCTTAAACATATTATACGAACACATGTTTCTTATTTTCGAGGGAACTGGGAAGGTTGTTCCACATAATAAATTGCTCCCGTAAAACCTATAGAATTTTTGCCACAATTTGTTCCTCTAAATTCAATATGTGTGTTTGGTGCTGATTGTGTACTGTAGGAATGTACACTTCTATTAGTTTTGAAAATGTTATCTAAGAATGCTGGTAGATATGTATTTAATTCTAAGATGTTTAGTATTTTCAGGGACTTGAACTGTTGTCCTGATTTTTCCGTGTATTTTGAAAAAATACGAATTACGTTTTACCTGCTGTGCACAGCTCAGCCTTTGGACACACCCATTTGTTAAAAAAGTACTTTAAAAGATGCACTTTAAGTGCTATATAATCCTTTAGAAATGAATTGGCCCCAAAAATGTTTCAAAGGTTACTATAGTTCTCACTCTCTTCTCCCCATGATACTCAAAGTTTATTCTGCAAGGCGCTGTTAAAGCCCAGAAGCTTTTAAGTATCTGAAAAACATTGATTCAGGGAGGGGACTTTTTTAGTTGTTTTACTCTCGTACCAGTGATCTACTCTCACTTTGGTAATACATTTCTGTTTCCAAAATATGCAAACTGTAAACTTTGTAAACTGCACTGGCTTCGCTTCAACAGTCTGTCACACTCTTTTTTTGTTTGTCTCCTTGATTTCCACACTTG